TAAGATTCAAACTTAAGATCTTTTAGTTGTTAGTCAAAGCTCTCAATCAATAGATTTAGATGAGTTATATTGACCACTAAAAAAATTCAATGTGCGTATTAAATATTATATTGACCTCTAAAAAATCTTTGAAGTCAATTGACTCATTGATAGTCAATATGTTTTATTTATAAGTCAATTTTTAACCTTCAAAGTAGAAGTATCGGTGTAACCTATGTTATATTGAAGGTAGGCACTCATTGACCTCGTCGTATAATCTTAGCAAAAAAATCAACATGTGTATATTATACTTTAATATCCTTGAAAGACTAACTAATTCCATAGCAACATAATTCTTAGCATATATTATAAAAAAAAAAAAAAACATGATTAAACATTCTTTAGCACTTCTTTGGCACGTACATAAACAAGATCTTGTAATCATTTATTACTTTATTTTTTAATTAAGAATTAACTTGTTATTTTACTAAACATAATTATATTTTTAAAAAATGCTAATTAATTTAAATATATATTACTATAATTTAAATTACTGAGCACATAATTTTATTAATTATTATGCTATCCAAAATATTTAATATTAAGCTAATAACATAATTATATATTAAAAATAATTCTTAATTTGTAAATATCATTATATATTTAATATATAAACACTAATTAATTTAAAAATAGATTTTTAATTAATTATTTATTAATGATAATAATTATAAATATTAATAACATTTAGAAAAAATTGAAAATAAAATAATAAAGTTACCCTAACACAGCCAAATCCCGCCTCGCCTTCTCCTCTTCCTACTACCGGAATTACCGAAACCCTCGACGTTAAAAAATAGGTCAGGGCGTAGCCACGGGAGTCGCTGGGGGAAGGAATCGACAGTGCCCGCGGCTTGCTAATGAGAAGTGCAGTTGATGAGACAAGCGGCGACGGAGAATAAGATAAGGAATAGAGAAGCCTGCTGCTGTGATGACCTCTTCTTCTCCCTTTCTCTAAAACTGGGAATAAGATCGAGAAGAGAGAGGACTGCTGCTCGACAAACAGCTACGAAGCGGAAGAAAAAGTTTTTGATTCCACAAAATACCATCCTTGTTCTGTAATGGACGGCGGCGGCGATAGCCTTGACGTAGAGAAGAAGGGGAAGAAACACAAGGGAAAGCATGACAAGCCGAAGCCTTGGGATGAGGACCCTAATATCGATCACTGGAAGGTTGAGAAGTTCGATCCATCGTGGAACGAGACTGGGATGCTTGAAGTTAGCTCCTTTTCCACCCTCTTCCCACAGTACAGAGGTAAAAATACTACTCTCAGTTATTTTGTTGGAGACAAAACATCTATCTTTTGTTTTCCTGGTGCAATTTTGGGTACTTGATCCAGTATTTTTCTATTGAAGTGGTCGTTGATGGATTACTAGTTTTGGTGTCATTTACTTAATTGCTTAGGTGGGCCTGTTTGGTAGTAGGTTTTGAGCATGATTTAAGAAAGATTTAATTCAAAAATTGCTAAGCGGTTTTTGTGGTTATTACATTTTATTGTTAAGTGAAATCTCGTTTTCCTCCCATTGTGGTATAAATCCTAGACTTGGTCAATCCTGGAGATATGGATTTCAGCTCTCTCCCGATCCACTCCTCTCCCTCTTGGCCCAAGAGATGGGGTACACGAATGACTACGGTGGGTTTAGGAAGGAATGCTTTGTGACTTCAGTTATGTGTGGAGATTGAGTGTGAGAGCCATGTGGGACGATGAAAAAAGGCATTACCTATAAGCTTCTGCTCATGGATTTGTGCTCTAGAGTAAGAGATCAAAGGAGCTGGCTGCTTCGTGAGAGAGAGAAGGAGAGTGAGTGAGCGAGTTGATGATGAGTGAGTGCCAAAAAAGAAATGCGAGAGAGAAAAAAAGGGCACTGAGGAAATGGTGAATTTAATTTGTATGATCATTAATTTATTATTATTATTATTATTATGATAGCTTAAATTAATGCAGTTAGTTATAGATTAATTGATACTTTTATGGATAAATGATTGATCATTTATTAATTATTGATTTCATAAATAATATAATAATTAGTTCATCTAATTAGATAAAATTAATGATTCATAATAGGTTAGGTTCCTGGTTAAATTTCATATTCATTTAAATCCTAATTCCTTAAAAAAATGCAAAATAGTTTTTAGGATTTATTAAATCCAGATTTACAGGATTTACTAAGTCCTAATTGTGTTAATTCTCCTTGCAACCAAGCAACCCTTTCATCTTTGATTTTAATCATTCCTCCTAATTGCATGAGTTTAAAACATTTGGACTTATATTATTTTTGTTTACTAAAAGGATTATAGTAATCTGAAGTTGAAAAACTATTAGTACAAATCACCATTATTTTCTCATTAACCTATAAAAGTGTTTTCCATCATCTTGCAAGTGCTTGTTCTTTAATCTCATTGAGCTATGCGATGTAATAAGTAAATTTGATGTTTTATGAGTTGCCATTAGGATTTATGCATAACTCTAGATCTTGCGGGCAGTAAAATTTAGTTCATTGATTGTATTTGCTCGTAGAGTATTGGATGTCTTAATCCTAAGCACTACAAAAAGAAATTGTTTGACTTCCGAAGTTAATTTTTCCAGCTTCATGCTCTTTAAGTTTGAGTGGAGTCTTCTAGTTGACTGTAGCAACAATTTAGAATTTACTTCATATTTAAATGTCCTGTTGTTGATCAATCCTATCCATGCAACCCTGCTAATCTATGATACTTTGCAGGTTGTTCTGCATATTGGAGGTGTTGTACCTGTTAAATTATTTTACTTAGTAATTAATGGAGTGGACCTTTTTATTCAATTAAAGATTACTTTAATCCTGCGAATTCAATTTACTATTTTATAGCACAAGCCTCAGTGAAGTTTGTGCAGTCAGAGTTCTGTAGCTTCTCATGAGCTTTTCATGCTACTTTCTAGTCAACATTAGTCTTATTAAGATTTTTACAGTGAATTGTTGATAATCCTATATGGAGAATTATGGGGATGCCACTATAATGTACTTCTAAGAGGAAATTTTAACATTTGACAGCATACTGATTTTTTGATTTCCTATCATGTTAGAGTTCCAAAAGTTATAGAAGCAAGGAATACTTAGTATGTAGATGGAAAAAAGCATTTTGTGAACCTCTGCAATGGTTTATGTGGTCTCTGAAGTTGCTAAAAAATGAAATTATGATTCACCCTCATTTTTATTGGATTGTTTACTGAAATAAGAGTTTTTATTTCCACTGTCATGATTTTTTGGGTAATTTAATGCAATGAAGGGCATGCGGAACCAATTTAGAGCAAGAAGGTGTAATTTCTAAGCTTATTTGTATTTTTTATGTTAAATAATTATGTTGTACGGCTGCGCCACTGTAATCTAGAATTTGGTTTTGACAAAATTATATCTAAGATTATCTTTTAGTCTCTTTTTTCAGAGAAATACTTGCAAGAAGCATGGCCCATTGTTAAACGTGCATTGAAAGAGCATGGTATTGCATGCGAGCTCAATTTGGTAAGTAGCATAGTTTTTAATTTGAAGGCCTATTTTTGTTTCTTCTTATTAGTATTTACAATTTTTGTAGTTAATTTTGATGTTGTCATCTAGTTCCATTTCATTCAGTTTCATGTATTTAAAATTTCTTTGAAGTAATGTTTCTTTTGCAGAACATCTGGTAAAGCTAAATACCATCGCAATTTTATAGAACTCTTGTTATCTGATGTTCCATTTTAAACTGTTTTTATTAAGGTTGAGGGATCCATGACTGTATCAACAACTCGGAAGACTAGGGATCCATACATCATTGTCAAAGCTAGGGATCTTCTTAAGCTTTTATCACGAAGTGTTCCTGCACCTCAGGCATATTCCTTATTCAAATTTGCATTTCATCAAGACTACATATATTTTTATTAGCCTGTTGCTCACAAATTTTTTACTTGGCATGTTATAATTCTTTTTTGCTATTGTATGCTAACCACTTAAATCTATCTATGCACTTTAGAGTTAAAACCAAAATGCTATTATTGCAGGCAATAAAGATATTGAATGATGAAATGAACTGTGACATCATAAAGATTGGAAACCTTGTAAGAAACAAGGTACATTATTCATCTTGTTTTTGAAATTCTTATGATGCAACTTCCTCATTTCTCAGTATTTTTGATATGTTCATTGTGAAAATTTGATTTGCTCTTTCTAATTAGTACATTTAATTCATTTTTTTTCAATTCCTTTTTTTGTGCATAAGAAATGTATAACTATTTCAGCATGTTTTTTAGAAACTTCATTATATTAGTAAAAACTTATAATCAACATATGCTTGTCTTGACATTAAAGGCATCTTGATGATTATACATATTCAACTGTCATGCACGTTAAAGGGGTTATTAATATGAACTTGAATGTTACGTAAACATAATGGCTAATCAAGTTTTGATCTTTGATAGAATTTTAACAGTTTCTTATGTTGAAGGTATCAATATCACAATTTTTTTATTCATATATTGCTAATCTTCATGTAGTGGAAATAAAGACATGATGTTGTTGTTGCTATATCCTTATACTACTACTAATAGAGTTGTACGTGATGCAATCACCCATATTTGAAGATTAATTTGGCAAAGAAAGGATCTTGCAATAAATCAGAATCTTCTTTTAATGATTTTTTCGATTAATGGATCTATTGCATTAGATTTTAAATGATTGAGGGTAATTTATTTATAACAATAAATGTAGAGATTAAAGAAATCATACTAACCTCAAATAAATGGTGCAATTTGAAGCTTTTAAATCAAGTTTCTACATATCATATCGAGTTGTTAATAAGTAAGGACACTAAGAACTTTCATTCTGCTGCCACACTATGTAGATGATCTAGACAGGCTGATTTTACTACCACTCTATGCAGGAGCTGCCTCTTTTCTTGAATAGAGGTGGATTGAAAGGTTTGATGATGCTGCATGGTAGTATGGATGTCTCAATGGTTCAAGATATTGGCTTGATATAGAAATAATTTGAATAGAAATATATTAAATAGCTAGGTAATTGGAAAAATAAATGAGGAGATAGATAGAATAAGTTAAAAAGAGAAAGAACTAGTTTAGTGAGGTATAATTGATGTAAGATTTATAGGATCTTTATGATGAAGGCAACAACTTAATAGGTGTCCCCTTAGGATGGTGATGGAAGGATTTATTATTATTATTATTATTATTTCTCACTAACAGTCCTACTCATTAATATAAATAATAATTACAAGTCCTTAAAAGAGATCAAAAGCTCACTAATGCTAAGAAGAACAACATCAAAAAGCAAATAAAACCTAAGAGCTAACGATCCCTTCTAAGTACAGGTAAATAAAAAAATCTAAGAAAAATCTAGAGTGGCCAGGAGCCAACATCCAAAAACAGGAGATCCTTAATAAAGCTTTCAGCACAATCATCCTGCAAAAAATGGAGAACCTGCAACAAGCTAAAGTGCAGCAATTACTTGCATCAAAAGGAACCTGCAAAAGGAAGTGACAAAGATCCAAAGTGGTATAATAAAACACCATAGTAATTAGATAACAACCAACCTAATAGCAGGTCAGAAATTGCCACAACATCAATTGATTAAGAACTTTCAGCATAACCAGACGGGCAAGATTAACAACAACAGAGGAAGGAAACAACCTACAGACCCCAAACTCAAAACTAATAGCAGGCAAATTGATAAGGGAACATATTAACCCCTGCATCAAGAACATAACCAACAAAACCCCCCATAATAGCAACCACCAGCCCCTTCAATAGAGAAAAAAGCCACATGGGAAGAAATAACCAAATGCAGAGAATTGCAATATTAACATAACCAATAGAGCCCCCAGAACAGAGGCCAGAAACCCCTTAAATATAAATGAAATCCAGACCCAATTGAGGACAACAACAACAGAAAAATAACCAAAACCCAAAGTACAATTAGCCCAACACAGAAATGGACGAGAAAGCTAATTCTAGCAACCAAAATTGAACCAACCGGGCTTGATGAGCATAAAGAGAGAATTGACGGGACGGATTAGCATTAACTAAGGAAAAATTAAGATTGTAGACCCCAGAATCAAAACCAACAACATGCAAAAGATAGAAGGAAAAGGAAAGAGCAGCCTCCAAACCAACCACAACATTAATCCCCATCCTAGCAACAAAAAATCCCTTCCATAGAAGATAACACCAACAATGCAAAAATAGATAGATCCAGATAAAAGCATAGCAATAAAAAACAACAGAACCTCCCAGGAGGGAAGGAAAGCATACTTCAAATAAACGGACCACATAAGATCATAAAACAAAGAACAAAACCACCTGGAGACAACAACAACAGATACAATGCCACCAACCTCAAGAAAATCAAAGGTATCTATAGGTAAAGAAAAACCACTAATAATAGAGCAAAGCAAATAAACCACAAGAAAACATGGAAGCATAGGCCAAAATCAGAAACAACAACAGGAAAAGGAACCAAGGCCAAAAAGCAACAACCCAAAAAACAACAACAGATCAACGTCTAAATAGGGAAGTCCAGATTTATCCAAACCTAGTTAAAAGGTCAGCACAACCAATGTTTAAAATTGCGTAATCTGATGTTGAGGCGTTTTTCATTCCTGAGGCGAGGCGTAAGTCTCAAGGTGTTTTGAGGCATAAGCCTCAAAATAAAAAACTTGCGTAAATATAAAATGATAAATTTTGTATATACTAATGAGTAAATAATATATAAAACATAAAAATGCACAAGATATGAAGTGAAATCAAAATATCCCAATAATAAGACAACATGAAATATAGTTCAACTCAAACTGCATCTTTCCCAAATGCTTCACTTATTCTACATTAAGAAAACGTATACAAAACATGCACTGTTGAATAAGCAGACTAACACTAACAACTATTACTAAAGATGATGAATACAACAATATACCGGTCTGCCAGGGGTCCAAGGGGGCGCTGCCCCTGGCGGGGTTCGACCATCGACGTTGTCCGGAAACAATTTGCCACTGGACGTTGGCAAGTTGCTCGCCGATGGTTTCCAAAAGCGTGAAGTTGATGTGGCGAAATTCTTTTTCTCAAGAATCCAAGTGGAAAGAGGGATGAAGGGTTGGCCAAGGGAGAGGAGCCACACATGGAGATTAGAGTTTAGACTTGGGATGGAGAACCTACGAAAATCTGAAATTGATTTCAAATTTGGTTTGGGAGGGATTTGGGTAATTAGAATTTTAAATCTAATTCCTAAATGGGAGGGAGGGAATTAGTGGGAGGAGAGAGGGAGGTGTGTGAGAAGTGGGCCGACGGTATAGAGAGAGGGGTGGGGCTTAATGCAAGTGTTTATTGCTTGCTTAATTGGGAATCTTAAATTAGGGAAGAGAAATTAAATCCAATTCAATTAAAAATTGATTTGGATGAGATTTGAAGACTTTCCTAAAATAGATTTTGTATTTTAGAAAATATTTTGAATTTCAAATCACTTGGATTTGAATTCAAAATTAGTCGTAATTATATTCAATCTATATTAAGAAATAAGGAAAAAGAGGGGGAAAGGGCTAGGGTGGGCCGTCTGGCAGTTGAGTGGGGCGGGAGGAGGCCGACGGGTATGTGGTGGGATGGTTCAGTTGGGGGATGGGGGTTTTATTTGGCCAGTGGTTGGTTGGGAAGTTGGCGGCTTGGAGGTGGTCGGTGGGGCCTTAGTGGTGGTCTTTGGCTGACAGGTACAAGAGAGAGAAGAAAGGGAAAATAGGTTAGAGAACCAAGAACTCACTCGAGGGTGGTTGTTGGGTAATGCGTTTAGCCTCTCCTAGGCTCTTCTCTAAGACTCATAAACTCACCAAGAGACACAAAAGTTGGAATTTCAGTAATAATCATTCATTCATTAAACATGAAAAGAGAACATACGGGCTATATATAGCCTCATACAAAGGACTCAAAAATAAAAGACGACAATGCCCTTTGGGCTTACACATGATCTCCCTTAAGTAAGGGGTAAAAGCGGAAAATAACAAAAGCAAATACAAACATAAAATAATAAAAGACAAGTACATAATACGACTTAAAAATACATCCGACTCGATCGTGGCCGTCGATCGACGACCATATTTCTGATAGATTCCAAGCTCCGATGTTCCCATCATGTAAGGTATGAGGAGCTTGTAAAATTGGAGTCGTATGTCTTGTAATAAGGTTATCTTGCAAATCTTGAGGCTTAATAATTTTCTTATAATATAGTATATCCTCAATATTAAAACATGACTTATCTACATGCCAGAAGGCAATTCAAGGAGTTAGCATTTGATTTAAGTTTTTTAAGAGTTTTGAATGGGCCATAAGCCCTAGCATGAAGCTTATTATATTTGGTGGGTAATGCTCTAGGCAAATTATAATTAAGATATAGTCATCTTCGTTATATTCCTTAGTAGAACATTTAGAATTTAGTGTATTTGCATATTTATTAATACTTGGATTTGCTGCTTTACATGTTCATGCGAATTATCATGTAAATGTGAATGCAGCATCTGAAAATGAATGATTAAGAATATTTGCCAGATCAATTGATTTTTTTAGTTATAATCATAAACATATTCAAATAGTATTTTTTGTTTCGTTCTAGAAATATTGTTATCATAAGCAAATTCAAAAGTAGGAAGATGTAAGTCTCAAGTGCCAATAGCAAGTTGTCTAATATTCTATTAACAATTTCCATTTGGTCGTCTATTTGAGGGTGAAATTTAGATGATAATTTTAATTGTGTTCAAAATTGTTTCTATAGTATATGAAGCAAATCTAACATCCATGTTTGAAATCATTGTGGAAAGTAACTTATGTAGTTTAACAATTTCCTTGAATAAAAGTTTGGCTATGTGGGAGGCATCATTAGTTTTTTATTAGGATAAAAAATATGTCATTTTAGAGAACCTATCAGCAACCACAAAAAATATTATCATTCCTGTTAGTTCTTGACAAACCTAAAATGAAGTATATGGAAAGGTCCTCCCAAGGACGATAAGGTATTGGAAGAGTAATTTACTTGATAGATTTTTACTTAATTGTTTTGTTATGTTTATAAGTGAGATAAT